GGTGACAGAGAATGATAATTGTTGAGTTCTCTTGCTTTCTAAAAATGAATAGAACGGGACTAAATTTATAAATTTAAAAGAATCGATAGATAAATAGTATAATTGCTCTTATATATATTTTTTCTAAATACATACATTTATGTCTTACTCACCACCTACCCACCCTCAAAACCGTCATCATTTTATTAATAGATTTCCCATTATATTTATTACATTTATTACTTAAACAATTATTTGACATGATCTCTCATAGATAATTTAAATGCAATTAAGAATCCACGGTCATATGATCTCACTCAGATTTTGAAGTATTGAATTCAGATTGACTAAACTTTCTTCAAAAGTGAATTTTTTTAAACAAAAAAAAAAAAAAAAAACAAAATAAACTAAACCTAAAAATGATTTGGCATTTGCAAGATTGCATAAATTGTAATCTTGCAAATTTCTTTTCAATGGCTCCGTTACTTTATTTTTTAAAAAATTCATAAATGTCTAATGTGACAACAACTTCAATTTTGTTGTCGTTTTTATTATTTTTTTTTATAAATAATATATAACATGAAAGAAGATCCACGTAGATATGAAATTAGATTGGAATTATATGAATGCAAGAAATAGTAAATTAGAAATGTAGTGGAGGTGTTATTGGCTTTTTGTACTTCACTATGTTGAGAAAGTAGTTATGAACAGATGCTACATTGTAAGAGTCAGTAGCATAAAAAAATTGGAAATGTAGTAATTTAATTGCTTTTTTTTTTTTTTTTTTGTGGTGCCATTCAAGGTGTTTCAATGAGGTTTTATTTTTTATTTGTTAAATTATTATTTAAAAGTTCAATTTCACTATTTGGCCACAATCAAGGGTTAATTTGACCCTTATCTCTTGAATATTGTAATTTCTGTTTTCGTGTTAAATATTGCGAGTAGATAATATTTCAGTATGATTTTGTTTGAGTGACTGACTTATCACTGCCTTAGACTAGTTAATAGATCAGTGAAAGAACTTGGTGCGAAAATTAAACCAAACAAAAGTAAAGGACACAAAATATTGTTTGTAGCCATAACCTTCACATTCATAACACTAGATTCCATTGCTTGAACTCTTACCATTACTCAATGAAGAATTTTTAGAGTGTCTAGTGCGAGAAGATTGTCTTTGTCCACGACGTTTGAATCCCTTTAGAAACTTCTTGAAATTCTCAGTCAGCAAGGCTCGAGATTCATCATCTAAGTCCACAGCGTCAGAATCTTGATCAGCATCTGTGATGAATGCCACAGATTTGCCTTTTCTAACTGAACATGTGTTGTCATCAGACAGCACTTGAAGTTCGTAAGTGTGTAGACTACCCATTAGTTCACCAACACTCTTCTTCTCCCAGCCTCTTGATTATCTTGAATTGCTGTAACCTTCATACGAAACCTCTTGGGCAGTGTTGACATTGAAATTATGATGAATATTGATTAGTTTTTAATATTAGATAATATTGATATTATCTAATTTGTTAATTAGATAATATCAAAAGAGTTTGAACTTATCAAAACTCTGTATCCTACAACTATAAATAGGGCCTTTCATTTCTATATAATCAGACACATCATAGGAAATAATCATGTAAACATCTGAAAATATTATTCAGAGATCACATTAAAAATGTGATCCAGAAAGTAAAAGTCCCTCCTCCATGATGATCATATGCCTGTTGATCGAAACCTCCTGTGAAGATCACAAACATATAAGTTCTTCTTTGGAGATCAAGCTACTTGAAACCCGAAGGCCATTCGAGTGTTCGAGGCATCAAATTGAAGAATCAGAGGACACCTAGAGATCTTGTTCCCACACCGCATTGATATATGACATGTAACCAGAATTTTGAATTAATATATTTTATTCAATTTTCTTTGTTCACAAATTGGCACGTCCAGCGGGACAACTCTGCCTCTCATCTCTTCATAGGCACATACCATTCAACCGGTATGGGGGCAAACCCCCTATGAAATTTGAAATGGAGGAGGCTAAATGATACTCCTTGGCACGAGTTAAAACGGCCCCATATCATTCAAGATACTCCTTGGCACGAGTTGAAACGACCTTATATCTTAAAGTTGTAGTGTCAAGACTTCCTTGCACTACATACTTTCGAGTGGTATATGCTCTCAAGTGGCGGACAAGCAAGTCTCGAGGGGGCATTTGTTGACATTGAAATTTTGATAAATATTGATTATTTTTAATATTAGATAATATAGATATTATCTAATTTGTTAATTAGATAATATCAAAAGAGTTTGAACTTATCAAAACTCTCTATCCTACAACTATAAATAGGGTATTTCATTTCTATATAATCAGACACATCATAGGAAATAATTATGTAAACATCATAGGAAATAATTATGTAAACATCTGAAAATATTATTCAGATATCACAATAAAAATGTGATTGTGAAAGTAAAAGTCCCTCCTCCATGATGATCATATGCATGTTGATCCAAACCTCCTTTGAAGATCATGCCATTTGATCCCGGAGGCCCTTCAGCGAAGAACAAACATATGACCATCATGGAGAAAAATGGTCTAGAAACTAGAGATACTGTGCAGAGTGAGTGGTCACGATTAATGTCACATCGTGACCGCCACCGTGACCAGCAAAGACCTGCGAGGCTTAGCCCGGGTCACGATGAAGGTCACGTTGTGACCTCTATCCTGATCAGGCATTCTGGAAGCAGTTAAAAGGACGCGACTCCAAAAGTATAAAGAGGTTTTAAGCGTTATTTTCATACTATCTTTCAATTTCCAATCTCCCTCTACACCTTCTCTCCATCCAAACCCTTTAGAACAAAAAAACCATTGTATTCCATCATCTTTTGGAGAAGATTTATAGGGAGATTACTGTATGCAATTGAAACTTTCACTTTCAATTTCAGATTTACATTCTACAAATTCAATAAAGTAAGGATTTCTATCTATTTCTTATTTTTGTACTTTACAAATTACTTTTGAAGTCAAATTCATTGTGCATTACTTTAATTGCTTTTAGTTTATCAATTACATTATGATTAGTTAAACTAGTTAGGGATTTAGATTGAATTGCTTTGTATAAATGTTAACATGAAATAAATTGGCCAACCTAGGGTTTGCAATATCTTTAGAATTTGGTATAATGTTTAGAATTTGATTGTGAATTTGGTAAAATATTTTAACTCTTGCTTGGTAAGGGCCCAACTTTTTAAAGGGATTTTGGATTTGGTATTTCACCTATGAGAATGGAGATTCATTATAGCCAAACCTATCACAATTCTAACTCAGTCTTGAGAAAGGGGAGTTGGAAGGGATAGAGCACTCAAGGTATTTGATTAATTGCCTCATCTAGTCTATTTTCCATGAGAATGGAATTAGAACTTAGGTGATAGCCCAATGACCATGAGAATGGCATTGGCACTTGCTAAACGCCTTCACTTTCATTCTTGATCTTTGCTTGGCTTAGAAACTTAGAACGTTATTCGCATTTATGCAAAGTGATTTTATCTAAATCCTTTCTTTCAACATTGCCTTTTACTTGATTCATTGCTTTATCTTAAACTTGTTCTCTATGCAAATAAATATTTCCTTTTGGTTAGCTTTCAAACACTTAATGATCTTGTGTTTAACCCCTCTCTACTCAATTCCCTTATGGCCATTCCTAGAGGATGACACTCACTAAAAAATCACCACTAAAACCAACTTTCAAAAGGCGTCGTTGCCGGGGAATGGCATCGGTTTTGAGTTGTTGAGTCCATTTGGGTTATCATGAGAAATCATTCAAGTTAGAGATTCTAACCGCCACCATTTACTTGTTATTTTTGCAATTTACTTTGTTTTTTAAAATTTTGGATAGTTGAATTATTACTACTCTTACAAGCAACTAGTTCTAGCTAGTTGCGAAACACTCTCTTGTTTTTGAGATTGTAGGTTGATCTATGATGATGTTTTCTATGTCAAGATTCCAACAAGAGGATTAATATGAGGACCAAGGAGGATATAGGCAACCAAGGGGAAGCTATAATGCTAAATATTTTGACCCCTATGGCTATGGAAGATGTAGGAATTGGAAACAACCATTTCCAAGAACATATGGAGTTTCACAAGAACAATATCAACCAAGAAGGCCACCAAGAACATATGAAGAGGATTGTGATTACCTCCCGCAAAGAGGATCCACTAATTCTTAATCGTATGAATCTTACCCATCCCAAGCCTACTCTCCACAATTTTACACTCAAAACACACCTCCACCCAAAAAGAAATCCAGTGTCAAACACATGCCAAGAGATCTAAATGATCTATATAAAACCATTGAGGAACACATGTTTGAACATATGAACTTAGAAGTGATTTGTCATGCTTGTAAAGGGCCTCACTATAGGTATCAATGCCAAAATTACCCATATTGCAAGAGATGTAAGGCAAAATTCTCATGAGAATTTAGGTACAACCATCATAGGGATGATAGAGTTGGTCAAAGGTGCAATGCCAAGTCTCAAGGAAAATACGGGCTGAGTGAGGAAACTTGGGCTTTAGCTAGGCGGTTGGGAATCAACATTGTGTTAGAAGATAGCAGGGATGATGATATTATAGTGACTTCAAGGGTTGATCAAGATGCGCCTAACTGTAGGAGACAAGTGAGCTTCAAAGTGCCCTTGGAGGAGGTCATTAAAGATATAAGGGAGAGTGAGCTAGAGATCCTCGTTAGTGAAAAGTTGCAAGGCCAAGAGAAGGAAAACCAAAATCGGGGATATAGAAACGAATTTGAAGAAAGGATGGATGAGGAGGTGGAAGTATTGTTGGAGGATGAAGAACTTCATAGTGATACCATTGAGCCATAATATGGTAAAACTCTTGATTCTAGTTGTGGTGTCACTACTCATGGTAATAATGATGCAAATCATGGGATTATATGTGTGATGAGGAAATTGCTTGGGATGATATTGGTGTACCTATTTGTTTCGATAATTTTAATATTAATTACATGGGTGCTTGCATAGAGAATATTGTTATTGATGACAGTTGTGAAATTGTGAATGATGATAACGATGCAGAATTGGATATCTTAGAAGAAAGGGAGTTTGAAAAAGGAGTTGAGGAAAATAAGGCAAGTGTTGATAATATTGAAGAGGATAGGGAAGAAAGTCTGTCAATTGAGAAAACTAGTGGCAAAATTAATGAAGAAGAGATGGGGAGTGAAGAAAAGGAAGATAATGAAGTTACAAGAGAGGAGTGTGAAGAAGAAAAACTTGAAGAAGATATTGGGGACAAAGAAGAAAATGTCGAAAATAAGAATGTGTTATTTGAGGAAATTCATTGCCAAATTGTTAATGAGGAGAATGAGAGTGAAGAAGAGGGAAGTGAAGAAAGGGAAAAAGAGGAAGAGAACAAGAAGAAGTATGAGAGCATATTCTTTGAAGTAGATCAATGCCAAACCTTTTAAGAGAATATGTTAGTATTGAGCTTTAGAGAGTTTGTGAGCGCTCGACACTTGAGGGCCTATCTTGAAGAGCGAGTGAATGTGGCAAAAGGACTAGTTCTCATCCAAGTGTCAATGGATGGTTGGTTGTAAGTTGCGTCGAGCTAAGGACGTTAAACGTGGTGCTTCTTGGGAGGCAACCCAATGTTATCTTACTTTTTATTATTTTCTTTTTCTATTGTTTGTGTGATTTTTTATTTGATAGGCAGTCTCTTGTTGGATCGTGAACTTCTAGAAGAAGGAACTTTGGTGGAAAAGCAATTCACTTCTTTCGACTATCATTCTAAGGGAGTTCCCTACACCTTCTAATCCATATTCTTGCATGATTTGACAATGTTCCATTCATATGATTGCTACATTGTTGCATGCTCCACCCCATTTTGCCCCACCCCCATACTAGTTGCTTGCCTAATGATTTGTTTTACTTGAGGGCAAGCAAGGTATAACACCCCGTGTTACGGCCTTCAATCCCAGATTAATTATTGAATTGATTCCGTTAATAATAATTAGAAAGGATTTAATTTGGTTAAGGTTCCGTGTAAATTAATTGATGTGGCTCACCGTAGATCATGGACCCTAACCAAATCCTTAATCCTATAAGAAATAGGATAAGTGGACCCTTATTATTCAAACCCTAGATGGGACTCCTAAATCTATATATAGGGACTTAGGAAGCATTTAGAAACCCAACCACAGTTAATTCTACCACACAAGATATTCCAAGAGAGAAACCTACAGAGGAATCCCCCTGCCATCAAACGTAGGATAACCCACAGAAAGAAGATCTTAGAAAAGAACCTTAGTGGCCAAGGATATTGATTAAGGCTAAGAGGTAACCCATGTCTCGACAAAACCTATTTTCCTTGCTATATCTTATTCATTGGCTCCTTTGATATATGATTCTGTGCTTGAGTCTTGATAGAGCTTTGCCTAGGGTTTATATTGTGTTTATGTGATAATCTTGACGTTTATGTGATAATCTTGATGTTTATGTGATAATCTTGATGTTCTTGATGCTATGATTATTTATATGAATGATCTTGTATTTTGATTGTGTCTAGAGCCCTAGGGTTATATCTTGAAATTCGTATTATGATGTTCTTGGTTTATTTGGGTGGGATTATGCATGATCGGGTATTGAGTCTAGCCTAGGACTTTTGTTTAGGACTTTGCATATAGATTTCTTGATGTTCTTCTGGTTACGGATGCTCCTGAACCGTTATATGATTAATGTTAGGTCCTGGCATGTTTAGGAATCATGTTTGAACATAGTAGTTGTGATTCTTGGTTTAATTCGGTTAATTGAATACGTGGTGTTGTCGTTATATGTTTGAATGTGTTTGGACATGGTTTCGAGTTCCACGAGGGATCCCGGGACCAAAAGTTGCCCGTGTATCAGTGGGAGGTAGGTGGGGGGACTGACCACCCGCCACCTACCTGCTGCCCGCAACACTGTTCCAGCGGGCGGTGGTCTGCCCGCCGCCACCCGCTGGAATAGTGCCCGGCCGCCGGCGGGTGGCTGGCGGGTGGTCATCCACCCGCCACCTACCCGTTGGAATCCCAGCGTGGTTCATGGTGTTTTTCCCCGTTTGATGTTTCCCCGTCCCGTTGTACCCCGTTTGTCATGTTTGAGTCTCGTTTGGTGTTTTAGGCATCGTTCTAGGATTTTATGTGTGATACGTGTCGTTGTTGTTGTTGTGTCTTGCTTGTTATGTGATTTTGTGTTGATTGATTGGTTGATGATGAGTATCGAGGTTATTGCGCAATGACCAGTGTGACTGATGATGATGATGATGATGATGATGATATTGATGAGATTGTGATTGGTGAAAAATAAACTGTTGGCGGTTGGCACCACTTGTGCCCAGTCATTGTACTAAAGGTACAGGCCATAGCGCTCACTGTGCTAAAGGAACACACCCACGATCGACTAGCTTGCCATTGAGCATGGGTCAGGTTATAAGTGTTGCGGTGTCATGTTAGAGCTATATGCGCTAACCCCTTGATATTGGCACTAGAGGTGCAGATCATTGAATGGCACAGCGGCACCATCTTGATATGTTGATGGTTGTAAGGTGGTTTGTCGGTGGGGGCATGTAGTTGCCCGGAGGCATAAGGGGAGGGGATATAAGAGTGGCCTGGAGGTATATGTTGGAACTGATATAATGATGGAGGGGAGCTATAAGGTTGGAACTTGGTATAAGGCTAGAGGATGATTTTTGAGCTTTGTTGACTACTTGCTAATTGATTGTAATGATTGCCTTCGTTGCCTCTACCTTGTTATTCGCATGCATATTTGTCTGTCCTATCTTGTATTGCATACTTAGGACACCTATTAGTTCGTACAATTATTCTATGATATTGAGTCTGTTAATATGCCTTGAGTCTTGATCTTGGATTTAAACTAGAGTCTCGTAAGTATATATGTATTCCAGTTTTAAATGAGTTTCTTATATCTACCTATATTATTCTTAACGCGTTGGTACCAGCATTATTCGCTGACGGTTGTTACACCGAATGTTTTTCAGTGGCAGTGAGTAGCTCCGAAGCGCGCTAGTGGATTCGTGGACTTAGTTCAGATAGTTCTAGTTTGGATGAGATGACCTGTGTGCCTTGATTTGTGTTTAGGTATTAGTTATGGTTTATGCTTTGTTAGTTAGTTTAGCCTGTGCATCTGAGTTCTCCAGCTCAGATGTGGCATAGCACCCCGACTACTATGTCTAGTTTATGCTCTGTTTGGGAATTAATAAGAGATTAGCCTTTATTTATAGGTTTTAAATATCCCAAAATTTAGAGGTGTTACACAAGGTCTAAGTGTTGGGACGGTTGAGATTCTTGTGAGTACCATGTACCTTCTTTGTGGTCATACTTTTGTGAAGATGAGGTAGGTAGGATATGCATTTGAAAGTGTGAATATGCTGTTGTTCCTTTTACTTTGCAGTTGTGGTGAAAGTGGTGTTATAGGCTCAATTGGTTGAAAATGTTTGGAAATCACCTCTTACACCATCTGAGATTTGCATAGGACCCAATTAGGATTTATATCTATTTTTCATGCTAGTTTGAGATTCAATCCCCCGATTCCATAGACCTAGGTCATTGATCTCTCGAAATGGGAGTGTATACGGGATAGTTTTGTGAAATGTAAGGTGGTATGACATGGAATGAATTTTCTCGGTGTGGCACAAGGCAAAAGGAGAGATTTTTCTTTAAGTTAGATGTGTGATTCCCTACTCCCAATGAAAAAGGCAAGAGGTGTTGAAAAAAAAATGTCAATGAAAAAAGCTAAAAAAGACTTTAAGCTATCCATACTTGAGAGGAAAAACATGAGGTGAGCCATCTCGTAGGATTCGAGTAACCATTACACAGACTTCAAAAAAAGCGTAGAGCTCTACGTGAAGGCGGTTGACTCGATGAGGTTTCCTAGGGGTGATTAGAAAATAGAGAGAAACTCACGCTAAACCAAAACGCGTGGAGCGGCTTGTATCACACCATCACACTGACTACATGGGTCTTTGGGGCCAAAGAAGGCAAAGTTGGAGAGCCCGTGTGCATCGTTCCATTAATGGGCTCGGCTTTTTAGGCCTGTGGAAGTTGAGGGTTGAATCATTTCTGTGCTTGTGAATATGTGTGCTTGAGAGAAATTCCATGTAAAATAATAAGTGAACTTGGGATTCTGGGGTCCTTACATTTTGATTCAATTGAGAGTATCACATTCACTTCACCACTGTTGCAAAGTAGGAAGAGGATCAACATATGTATGATTTCTTGGGCATAGCTCATTTACTTATCTTTAGAATTGTGTGATTGGTTTTGATGATGCCTGGTAATTCAATCTGCTTAACTTGGTTTTGTCTTGCTTGAGGGCAAGCAAGGTCTAAGTGTGGGGAGATTTGATAAGTGCTAATTCTTAGTACTTTCCTATTTGATTCCTTTGTGCCATTTAGGTTATTTGGAGGCATTGGTTGTAACTTCATGTAAATTGGAGCTCAATTGGTTGTGCTTTGAAGTCATCTTGACAGAAAGGCAAGTTCCAGGAGCCATTAGATGTCAAGAAAATGAAATAAAGCGAGTGGAAATATCATAACATGACCCGAGGACCGAAAGGAACAAAGGAGATGAAGAAATATGCATTTTGAAGTAAAAATCATGGGTCACGTTGGTGGTCACGCCGTGATTGCCAGCGTGACACCATTCTACTTTGTACTTTTTTTTTCTGTCAGGCGAAGTCTCGGTAATTTGAGCAATTCTCGAGCTAGGAGTATCCAAACAGCGTGATTCAAGTGGCATTAGAAAGGGAACTCAGAGAGCTAAACCTTTCATGAAAACCACAAAGACTTGTTCGGACGTTTACAATGTGAAAAATGGTCTAGAAACTAGAGATACTATGCAGAGTGAGTGGTCATAGTCAATGTCACACCGCGACAGCCACCGTGACCGGCGGAGACCTGCGAGGCTTAGGCCCGGTCGCGATGAAGGTCATGCCGTGACCTCCATCATGACCAGGCATTCTGGAAGCAGTTAAAAGGACACGATTCCAAAAGTATAAAGAGTCTTTAGGCGTTATTTTCATACTATCTTTCAATTTCCAATCTCCCTCTACACCGTCTCTCCATCCAAACCCTTTAGAACAAAAAATCCATTGTATTCCATCATCTTTTCGATTGTAATTGCAACTTTCACTTTCACTTTCAGATTTACATTCTACAAATTCAATAAAGTAAGGAATTCTATCTATTTCTTATTTTTGTACTTTACAAATTACTTTTGAAGTCAAATTCATTGTGCATTACTTTAATTGCTTTTAGTTTGTCAATTAAATTATTTGTTAAACTAGTTAGAGATTTAGATTGAATTGCTTTGTATAAATGTTAACAAGAATTAAATTGGACAGCCTAGGGTTTGCAATATCTTTAGAATGAATTTGATTGTGAATTTGGTAAATGTTTTGAGTCTTGCTTGGTTAG